TTTCAATTCATCACTTTAAGAGAAACAGGATAAAAGAGAAGATAAATAAATAATGAGTAAGAGGCTGAATCTTATAAAAATACACACCACTGCCTGGGACTGAGGACCCAGTCCTTGCTCCCGCCACTCTTATGCCAAACTCTTGTGTCCTTTTTTTCACTTGTAAACCCCTGTTGCCACTACCACACAGTAACAATTAAACGTGAAACGTCAAACACAAAGCAATAATTAGACAAAGGATTACAGCTATTTTCTATCAGAAAAAGATTATAACAAGTTTGCCTATAATGATGGTTTGCGGTGAGACTGAAAATAACCCCCAAGAAAATAACCCCCAAGCAAAACCTTCAAGCAATGCCAACAAGATGGTGAGACGTGCATACAAAAGTAAGAACTGTGAAGGAGAGGGAGGAAAATTCTCCTTCTCACTTTAATGTCTTGTGTTAATTGCACTCACTCCTTTATTCCCACAGGACACAGACTAAACACAGCACAGCACAACTAAAAGGCACTTTCAAGCTGCATTCTACATGAGGGGGCTAAAAAAATGCTACAAGCTTCTAGGAATTTACAACACATTTAGGAAGCAAGAAATGAGCACAAACAGTTACTCCACGATATTGTGTGTGCTCAGTCGTGTCTGACTCTCTGTGATGCCATGAACTGTAGCCCACCAGGCTCCTCTGTTCACAGGATTTCCTAGGCAAGAATACTGGAGCGCACTGCCATTTTTTCTCCAGGGGATCGTCTCGAGCCTCCTGCATCTCTGCATTGGCAGGCAGATTCTGTACCACTGTGCCACCTGGCAAGCCTGGTACTACTGCACCCCATTAATAATTAAGAAACTAGTTTAATAATTTGATAAAGAAACTAAGGCTTACAGAAGTTAACTAACGGGCTGAAGATCACAGCCAGTCAATTGAGCTGAGCTCTGAATATAGGTTCTTTTTTGCCCCACAGGGCCCATGCTGTTAAATTGGACACTGCATCAAACCATCACACAGGGTAGTAAAATCAAATAAAAATAATATGACTTTTTTTTTTTAAGTATAGTGTCTCATCTACTTTTTTTTTTCTTGGCCAGGCCACTTGGCCTGCAGGATCCTACTTCCCTGACCAAAGGATGGAACCCATGCCTCTTGCAGTGGAAGAGCAGAGTTTTAACCACTGGACTGCCAGGGAAGTCCCAAAAGAATACCATTCTTTTAACTGTGTTTAAAAGGATAGTTGTCCCATGAGCTGGTCCAAAGTGTTCCACACTTAAAAGCAAACAATTGTGGCCTTTTCTTTAATCACAGGAGAAAAAAATAAATCGTGAGCTTGATTTTCTCAATTTCAAGTTTCTCTCAGAAATATTTCTTAAATCTTTGAAAAACAGTCCATTATAAAAATCAATGAGTAAGTAGCAGACCAAGCTGGGGAAAATTCAGCTGATTATGCTTAGCTCAACGTTTTCTTTAATGGATTATGTGCTTAACAGATGTCATTTCATTATTTTAAGTTCAGTGATTAATTGAATATATTAATTCAGTAACAGTTAACTCAATTACCTGGAAGTGGTTTTAAGATTAAGGTATTCTTCAGAAGAATAATAGTGCTTATGTGAGAGCTATCATAAAGCACTAAAAGAAATCAGATACATCTACCATAAGCAGTATCTTTTGGCTGAAACTATAGAAACAAAGAGATAATACATTGTATTGATGATTTACTGCCACCTGGGAGCACACCGCCCCACGGGACTAAGGTGGCTGTTGTTATCAGGCAAAGCCACACATGCAAGCCATAAACATAATTTCAAATCTTACAGTGGCCACGTTTGTTTAAAGTACAAACAGGCTAAATTAATTGCAACAATATATTTATTAACATGGAATTGGCAACATATTATCATTTCAACACGTAATCAGTATTTTAGAAATTGAAATATTTCATTGTTTTTACACTAAATCTCAAAATCTGGCCTGTAAGTCACACACACGGCACTAGCTACTGGACCAGACAGCGCAGGTATGAGAGACAGTTAGGAAGAGACTGTGGCTGCAATCAGAGAGTCAGAGTGCAGCACGTGGGTAGAAAAGTGGGGATTCGGCTCCAGTGTTCCAACGCTGAGATAAATGAGGCTGTTTGCAGGTTCACCTTCCAGCAATCTCTATGTTTGGAGTTATTAAAGCCCTGCACATTATTGTTTTATAATGTGCAATAATGAGTGTTTTATAATTTTATAATCAGTGTTTTCACCACATTTTTAACTGGTCTTGCTATGACTGTAACTTGGGAGGATCTATAGTCTCTCTCCTCCCTCTCCGTTTCTTCAACCCCAATTCTTTAGAATATCTCAAAGTTATCCAAAAAGAACCTACTGACAGTTGCTGTCCACAACCCGAACATTTAAAATCTATAAAGGTCTGGGCAATGGGAAGCCTGAAACCACCAAAGGACTTTGGAAAGGGAGTGGGAAGAATGCTTCAGTACTAACAGTAATGTATCAAGTATCACAGAAAGGGCAAATAAACTGCTTTGCAGATAAAACTGGAAAGGCTACTGCTCAGAATGTCCCACGTTAAGTCCTGAACTAGGCTTACAGTTTATAGAGAATAAATACGACCCAGGCCAGACACCCCTTAAGCAGTAATTCACGTAAACAGCACAAGGCCACAGAGGGAGAGGAAGAGTTCGAGAATGACCAGCATAATAAAGTCAGAAAAGCTCCCCTCTCACCTTCCTGCCCCTACCGGATCCACAGGAGAACTCCAGTGGGACCATTCTACATAGAGGTGGCCATAGCATTTCCTTAACTCACGGCTCTTTCTAGTCACCAGACTAATACTGCTAATCTATTAGAGCACCTATGACAAATTTAAACAGTAGCCAATAAATTCTGCTTGTGAAAGTCATACAAATGGCTGGACAGGGTGTGTCTACACTCTTCAGCACTTAAGTGGGTGGGGAAAGACTGCATTTTACTGGGCATAGGTCAGTGAACATCAGTATTCTATTTTAGAACAAACTCTGGCTAAACAAATCCAACATTGGGATGACAGGGTGTTTATCATTTGTACCAAACGAAATTATGCAGTTACCATGTGTTCACCAGTTTAATATGTAAGCCTACTAAGGAAACCAAAATTACAGTTCAGTATTTCTCAGCTCTTCAAACAATTCTACTTCTTATTGCTCAGAAATCTACTTCATTAGGCTACCTATGATAAATTTAAACAGCAATCAATAAATTCTACTTGTGAAAAACAGAACGATCCAAATTTCTAATTCCTTTAGTTCAGAGGATTTCATGATGGCCCCTTCAAATAATGGGAAAAACTACTAAAAATAGCAAATCATCAGTGAAGTCACATTTTTAAAATAGAAAAATAACAAGTAAACAACACCCCCCAAAAAACTAGATATAAAAACCACATATCATAACAAGTTTGTAAAAACATTTTCTATGCACATACAAAAGATTTGAAGTAACCAAAATACTAGCAGAAACTATCTCTGGTAATTGAACTTCGGCTTTTTACTTTTTATATACTATTTCTCTATTTTCTACAATGATCATGCCTTACTGTTAAAACTAGGAAAAAAAAATTCAGACACGTGGAGATTGAGCCAGTGCCAACCAATTTAGGATTACACTGGATTGATACACTATCCCTTATACCACCGTAGTATCTTAAAAAGTACTGAGGGCCCTTGAAGACCTGCCTTATCTACAGCCTTATCTACCATACATACTCGATGGACACATCCCGAGGTGGGGCATACTGCAAAACATTAGAAAAAAATGGCTTATTCAGAAAAGTAGACAGCAGTTTAGCGCCCTTGCAAAACAAAGAAGAGCCAAGAATGGGTGCAAGGAATAAATAAGAGTTACAAAGTGAAAAAAAAAAGTCTTGGTCAAAATTTTTAATTGTGCATCTAATACGAAACTGTTCACTTTATGTCAATTTCACTTCATTTAAAAACACATAAGTTACTTTGTAAACAGACTGAATCAGCGCTGCTTTAAGGATGGCTTTGCCTCAATCCATCTTTCTTCTCATTTTGCTTCTTCATTTCTAGAGCATCATGAAACGTGGCTTCATGATGGCCACGTTTCTCAACGTGGAAGCTGCTGCAGTGCCGTGGGAGGAGTGTGTGGGAGGGTACCCTGGGCACGCCGCGTATCTTCCTGCCCTCAAAGAGCTTCCAGCAAAAGGTAGAAAAAGAAACAAAGGAGCGGGTCTGACCCAGAGGCCGCAAACCGTCACAAGCAGTTCCGTTTTTAAGGAAGGTTGCTTTTGAGTTTCAAGACCGTTTGGGGACGATGAGCCAGGCCAGATTTGAACAGGCGCAGACAGCACAGGGCCGGAGTGAGTGGGACGGCTCAGGCGCCGAACCCTCGGGTTCGGACCCAGAACCGGCTCATGCTTAGACTAGGCAGACGCTGACTGAAAATGGAACGAAACCCACCAACCCGCCAGGCAAGGCTAGGCAGGCACGCACGCCCGCGATTCCAGAGCGCTGCGTTCGCTCTATTCGGTGGAGGGCCTGACACGGGGCCGCAGACTCAAAAGCGCTTAAGGAAAGCAGACGGTCGGCTGGCATCACCAACCGGCTCCCCAGAGGCCTTGGGCTAGACCCCGAGCGCACGTGGACCTCGGCCCGCGCCCTGCCCACTGCGGACACCGTCCACCACGACCGACCCACGCCGGCCACCCCCACGCCGTCCGAGCAGGGCCTCGCCGGGTCCCGGGGACGCCAGGAATCCACGGCAGGACGGCGGCGCGGCCTCCCGAGACAAAGCTGCGTGCCCAGTCCACGGAGCCCGCCGCCCCCGCGCCCGCCGGCCGAGACGGCCCGCCGCACCCCGAGCGCCCGGCCAACCGCCGCCGCAGGAGCGCGCAGGGCGCCCAACTGCTGTCCCGGCCCAACCAACGCGGGCAGGGGAGGAGAGGTGCGCGCGGCCGGCAGAGCGTGCGAGCCGCTCGGGGGTCGCAGGGGGGAGGCCGCGCGCGGGGAAGGCAGGGCGAAGAGGCGCCGGAGCAATGGCCGATCGCAGCGCCAGGAGGGCTCCGAGAGCGGATCTCGCCCCTTTCCCCTTGGAAGGTGCAGATGGTTTGACCCCCCACCCCGAGTGAGGTGCCTCGTCCCAGCCCCGGCTGGACTGTACCATCGGGCGGTGCCGCCGGGATTTCTCCCCCCCACCACCACCATCAAGTCCCCCCCCACCCGGGTCCGCGGTCGGTTGGCCCCGACCGGGCTCTGAGACGCGGAAAGAGCTTGGCGCCATTTTGGGTGGGACTAAGCAAAGACGAAACACCCTCCCAGTCGATGGGGTACTCTGGACGCTGGCTTATCCGGTTCCCCTAATCCTTTAGGTACTTACACGACGTTGGGTGAGGGGAGCTGGGAGATCAGCGGGTCCCCGGTCCTCTCTCCCTAGGGGTGATGGAAATCAAACCCCCCCGCCACCTCCAGGTGGTTCTTCCCGCCGCAGAGTGGGAGCAGCATAAAAGGCGGGGCCTCATTAGCATAACCTGCCTGGCAACCTGATCTCGGCCTTATGTGATTGGTTGAACTCTGTAAACTCCGTGCCTCGCCTAGAGACGAGTAACGCCGGGGCGAATTGACAGGCCCAGATTTAAGACTCATGACCGAGATCCCGAGACGCTAATTCAGTCGGCGGAGAAGCCAAAAGGAGATTCACACGATGGCCCAATGACGGAAGGCCTCTTTATTTCGTGTTCTGCTGTTCGTTTCAAATCCAATCAAAGAGCGCGACTCAGGCAGCGCTCGCCTGCGTTTGTGCTCTAAGCCAATCAGAGAAGCCGACTCTCCGGATTCTGGGCCGGGACGGCTAGCAGGGACCCCCGGCTGCCCAGGTGGGGAAACTTGTACCCCAGGTCCGGAGGAGGGGCCGCTCGTCGGGTGTCCAGCTTTCCCCGCAGGCCCCCGAGGACCCGCGTCCCGGGAGCCGCGCCTGGGCACCCGAACCACGCCACGCGCGCAGCCGAGCGCAGCGCGGCCGGGACTCGCGCCCCTGCGCCTTGGAGCCGGGCCACGGAGTCTGGGCTCAGCCCGGCAGAACCCTAGAGCGCCACGCCGGCTCTCTCCCCTCCCTTTTACCGTGCTCAGAGGAAGTGATTTTCACAAACATGATCTTATTCAACCCTGGTTAACCCAGGGCTTCAGTCACTCTTTCAACCTCAGGTTTCCACATCGTACCATCCCAGAAAATTGAGCTCAGGTTTAACAGCAAGACAGCAGCCCTAATCCCCCCGCCCCTAATATGAATGACAACTAGCTCTTGAACTGATCTTGAACCTTTGGACCTTCAGGATGCGGTTACCCTGTCCGTGACGTCTACCTTGCTACGTTGTTTTGAAGATTAAGGGGAATTTACATGTAAAACAGCACACTAGAATTTAAACGGATAAAAGTATTAACGACAATGAAAGAGGCAAAATTGCTAAACTTATTAGCTAACCAAGAAAAAAGTACAACTAAAAGATTCGAGAGTAGAAAACACTGAGGGGAGGTGAGGAGGAAGGTAAAATTCATTCAACGATATCCTCTTTACTGTTATGTGTTTTAAAAACTGGAAACAAAGTTTGGGAAATCTTGGGAAAACATGTCTTTAGAATTTAAAGACAGTTGACTACCTTGTAAGCAACTTGATGACTAGCCAATGGCTTGTTCCTCCATAGACTCCTGTGCACGCTGTCGTTAAACATTTGTTGAATTTAACTGAAAAGAGCATATTTGGGGCTGGATGAGGCAGACCTTAACATTTACAGTGAGAGAGTATAAACAACCGTTAATCAAAGGGTTTCCCTGGTGGCTCAGTGGTAAAGAATCTGCCTACCAATGCAGGAGACAAAGATTTGATCCCTGATCCAGGATGATCCCACCTGACCCTGTGGCACAACTACTGACTCAGTGTTCTAGAGCCTAGGAGCTGTAACTATTCAGCCCACATGCCTCAACTTCTTAATCCTGAGCACCCTAGAGCCCACGATGTGAAACAAGAGAAGCCATCGTGATGCCTGGGCATCACAACTAGACAGTAGCCCCCGCTTCCACAACTAGAGAAAAGCCCTCACAGCAACGAAGACCCAGCATGCCAAAAATAAAATCCAGTAAATAAAATTTAAAAAAGAAAAACAACTAAAATGCTGTATATGCTATTTGGAAAAGACTTTTTTTTTTTTTAATGCATCACAGAGCTGCATGAAAAAAACAGAGTGAGGACTCTACAAAGGTTAAAAACAAAGTCCATGAGTAAAAAAGGGAAAGCTCATCATTTCAAAAAAAACTGATCAGAAGGAAAGGAATGCTAGAAAAAGAAGAGCAACCATTTGGCAGCAAACATAACAATTATTTAATTTTTTTTCAAGCAAAAATGACAAATGGAAAAGTACTTCCCATCCAACATTGTTCCTTCAAGAAAACATTTTATGAATGTAGCTCATTTTGAAGGCTTTGGACCATAACTTAGATTTCAGTATGAGGGAGCCTGTGTGAGCAAGAATAATTATGAATATAATGATCCTGATATGGTTCCTCCTATGTGTAGTGATCTCATTGAGGGTTTCAGGCTGTGATCCAGGAAGATCCCACGTGCCCACATACCACAATTATTGAGCCTGTGCTGTAGAACCGGGGAGTCACAACTACTGACTCCACGTGTAGAAACTGCATTGTGGGAAGACTCTTCTCAGAAATACAATGTCAACAGATACCTGAGAATGAATACCAAAGAGAAACATTCCAATGTAAGGAATGTGGGGAATTTATACTGGAGGAACACTCACGAATATAATGAGTGTGGGAAAACCTTTAGCCGGAAGAAATACCTCAGAGACCAGGAGAAAATGCATACTGGAGACTGTGCATTCAGGCATGCGCTGAGTGGGGTCAAGCGTCTCTCACCCACTCTTTCAAGTGTTCTGTTGAATCTCGTTCCTCATTCTATGTTTCAGAATCCACATAAGGAGGAAATCATATAAAAGTGATGAAGGTGGAAAAGCCTTCAGCTGTCATAGAAAAAGCTCACTCTCAGCTATCTAAGGAGACACCTTGTAAATGTGTGGGAAAACTTGTATTCGAATGTCATCTCTCCTTCAAAATCAAAGAGGGCATGTGGAGAGACCTTGTGAGTATAAAAAGAGTGGGCAATCCCCATGTCCGTAGCAAATCTCATCTCACAGAGTGTGAGACAGTCCACGCTGGAAAGACTACCCTGAATGTAAATCAATGTGGAAGTGTCTTTACCTAGAAGCAGTGCCTCATTACAGATCAAAACATTCACGCTGGAAAGGAACTCCGTGAATGTAATGAATGTGAAAAATCTGCAGACAAAAGGGAAAACCTCATTATTCATCAAATGCCTGCAAGAGAGAAATCTTATGAATGTGGTAGCGATGAGAAAGTTTTAATTCCGAAGTCAAGCCTTAGTAGGTGCTTGAGAGGTCTTCCTGGAGATAAACCCTACACATGTCATGAAGATGAGAATGTATTCAATGGCAAGTGAAACATCTCATTTGAGAGATACCCTGTAAATACAGTGAATGTGCAAAAACCTTCAGGCCGAAACTGTGCCACATTAAATATTACAGCATCCATATAGGCGAAGCACCCTGTGAATGTACTAAGTGTGGAAAGCCTGTGGAATCCCACTGCTTATTGTATGTGAAGAACTCACACAGGTAAGAAACACAAACGTAAAGTGTGTGGAGAAGCCTACTCGCCACACATGAGAACCGATGCTGAAGGCGATGTCCAAAAACATGTGAATGGTAAATATACTGTGGTATATCTGCATGATGGAGTGCTATCCAGCAATAAAAAGAGATAAACTTGGGACTTCCCTGGTGGTCCAATGGCAAAGACTCTGCCTTCCAACACAGTTCTGGGTGGGAGTTCAATCCCTGGTTGGGGAGCTAAGATCCCACATATCTCCTGGCCAAAAATCAAAACATTTTAAAAAAAAATGAAGCAATATTGTAACAAATTCAATAAAGACTTTTTAAAAAATGGTCCACATCAAAAAATAAATTTGAAAAAGAAATTAACTAAGAAAAACTATTGATACATAAAAGTGTGAAAGTGTTAGTCGCTCAGTCCTGTCCAACTCTTTGCAACCCCATGGACTGTAGCCCACCAGGATCCTCTGTCCATAGGATCCTCCAGGCAAGAATACTGGAGTGGGTAGCCATTCCTTTCTCCAGGGGATCTTCCTAACCCAGGGATCGAACTCAGTTCTCCCCTTTGCAAGCGGGTTCTTTATCATCTGAGCCACCAGGGAAGCCCATTGATACATTCCATCATGTAAATTAATCTTAAAATGCTGAGTGAAGAGCAGACCGAGAAAAAAAAAAGTACACACTTCATGATTCCGTTTATATAAAATTCTAGACAAGTCAAGCTCACTGTAGCAATAGGAAGCAGATCTGACTGCCTGTGTGTAGGCAGGAGGGGGAGGGGTAACGAAGGAAGCTTCTGAGATGGATATGTTCACTTTCCCAATGGTGGTGGTGGAGTCATGGATGTGTACATCTTTCAAAAATGATTAAGGCGCCCGCTTTAAACATGTGCAGTTTAATGGATGTCAGTTATACTTCAGTAAAGCTGTTCAGATTGTGGGGGATTTCTGACATTTAAAGTAAGTCAAGAAATGTTTTAAATTGGTTATGAATTTGAAAAGGAGAATTCAATCTCCATTTGTTTATAGTATGATTAAGACTTACCAAAGCTGCTTAGGTTTTTCAGGTAAACATAATGTACACAAAAATACTAAAAGGCTTAAATATAACAATAAAGCAATACAAATCTTCTAAGACAGCCTACAAACACCATCTCTTCTAGGAACATCGGCAACCTTCTTCACCAAGATTTGAAACCAGGGAGCTGTAATGGGGGATAAAATCTGTAATGGAGGGACTTCCCTGGTGGCCCAGTGGCTGAGACTCCACCCTCCCAGTGCAGGGGGCCGGGTTTCAGCCCCTGGTCAAGGAACTAGATCCCACATCCCAACTGAGAGGTCACGTGCCACAGCTAAAGATCCTACATGCTGCAAGGAAGGTTGAAGATCCTGTGTGCCAAAGCTAAGACCCAGTTAGCCAAATATATATGTATGTATGTATAAGGGAGACAATAGACATATTTTAATTGCATGTAAATAAAAATGTTGGCTAATATACCATAAACAAAGTCAATAAACAATATGTTAAAATTTTTGCTATACAGAGAACAGAGTAATATCTTATGAATTTGTAAGAATGGGCAAACAACCCAAAAGTAAAATAGACAAGGTACATTAAGAAGATTTCAAGGAAGATGAGCAAATCCAAATGCTCAAAACTATATAAAACATATTCAATGTACACATCAGGGAATGAAAATAAAATGATTATTCTGTATCACTTTATAGTCATCAGAAAAAAATAGAACAGTAGCATCTATTGTTAGAGTGTTTTCACGTAAGGAATAGCACTGGAGTTGTTCCACTCGTTTTGGAAAGTAAGGTATTAATATCAATATTATGTACATTATGTATTATGTATATATGTGTTACAGAAGATACCTACATAATCATTTAACTCAGCACTCCCCTTTCTGGGATTCTATCTAGAAGGAAAAAAGTCACCAGTATAAGGCATTTAATGTAACATTTTCTGTAATGGCAAAAAAGCTGGAAATAGTCAAACTTTAATGGTACATTCATGCCATAGTACAGCATGCAGGCATTAAATAGAATGAACTATAGCTATGTCAGTGGGTTTGGAGTAATTTCCAAGACATATTGTTGAATTAGAATGCAAAGTGAGAAGAGTGTGTTGTATCAGTCAGGACTCATGTAGAGAAACAGAACCAGTAGGGACATATATTCAGGGATTTATTGCGGGATTCACTTTCACACCTATAGGAACTAGCTGGTCTAGTCCAAAATCCACAAGGATGCCCAGGAGGGCAGCCGGAAGGGTTAAAGCTGGCAGTTTCAGCTCTGCTCTTCCAGGCTTTCAGCTGGTTAGATAAGACCTGCCTGCATAACTGAGTCACTCACTGGTCATGGGTTGTAATCTCATCTACAAAATAGACAACAACACTTAAATCAGTATTTGGTGGAATAACCCTGGACACATATATCTGACATCACATGGGTAATATTTCATTTTTGAAAAATAATGAGAAAAATGCTTGTGTGTTTATGTATTTATGTACATATATATGTATGCAAATATCTATACAAATTATATATACATGGTTGAGCATGGAGAAAAAAAATACTGAATACCTGTTCTATATGGGTTAGGGTAATGTACAGTGGATGGGGGGTGGGAGTAGCAGGTGGAGAAGAGGAGGAGGCTGCCAAGCAAGAAAAAGACTACAATATTAAAAGCACAGTACTTCCCTGGCAGTCCAACGGTTAAGACTCTGCCTTCCACTTCAGGGGGCATGGGTTCCATCTCTGGTTGGGGAATTAAGGTCCCTTCTGCCATGGAGTGTGGCCAAAAATTAAAAAAAAAAAAAACTGAGGAAGAGGCTGAAAAAATTTAAAAACATAAAGTCCAGGCTATCATGTTATCATATTTTCATATGTGTGAATTTATATAAGATAATCTATGTGTATAAAAATATATAAAGACACTTAAAAACTAAAATACATATTTAGGAAGTATTCAATAGATAATAAGAGTACTCATTAATATTCTAAAATATCATAATCAAAGAGAACTATTCTTAAATATCTGTTTTAAAACAGAAAATTACCATGAACTGAATGGCTTGATCCAATAGACACCTGTTCTCTCACAGTCCTGGAGGCTAGAAGGTTGAAGACAAGGTACTGGCAAGGTCAGTTTCACTCTGAAGGCTCTGGGAAAGGATTCTTCCTTGGTTCATCTCAACTTCTGCTGGGGGCTAACAATCCGTACATTCTTTGGCCTGTAGCATCATCACCCCAATCTCTGCCTCTGCTATCTCATGATTGTCTTCCCCCTGTGAGTACATGTGTATATCCAAATCTCCTCCTAAGAGGACAACCATCGCTGGATTTAGGGCTCATCTTCATCTGATCACAGCAGCAAGTAAGGTCAGTATTCACAGGTAACAAAGCTTAGGACTTTAGCATATCTTTTTGTTGTTGTTGTTTAGTCGTTAAGTCATGTCTGACTCTTTGCGACCCCATGGACTATATCCCGCCGGGTTCCTTTATCCATGGAATTTCCCAGGCAAGAATACTGGAGTGGGTTGCCATTTCTTCTCCAGGGGATCTTCCTGACCCAGGGATCAAACCCCGGTCTCCTGCATTGCAGGTGTATTCTTTACCATGGATACAATTCAACCTGCTATAGTTTGTAACTTATGATAATTGACCAAAACATTTTTGTTAAAAAGGAGAGAACAGCTATGTCACATGAATTGCAATTATTTAGCACTGCCCTGGTAGCTCAAATCAATGCAATAAAATAGAAGACAAAAACAAGATAATTGTTGGAAAGAAGGGAAAAAGTCAGGGTTATGTGCAGAAATCCAGAAGCTATCCATTGATACACAATTGGGTCTATAAGAGAGTTTGAATTAGTGACCACACACACAATGTTGCTGTTTAGTCGCTCAGTCATGTCAGACTCTTTGTGAGTCCATGGACTGTATCCTGCCAGGTTCCTTTATCCATGGAATTTCCCAGGCAAGAATATTGAAGTGGGTTGCAATTTCCTTTCTCCAGGGGAACTTCCCGACCCAGTGATCAAACCCACATCTCCTGCATTGGCAGGCGGGTTCACAATAATTAAATGCAAATTAATAGTTTTCCTTAACAGTAACAAAAATCATTAAGAAGCATCGTAGAAAAATATGTAGATATGAAGAGCCTGCTACACACTTGGCTGTGTCCCTCAAGAAGTGAGACATGTCTGAGGGACTTCCCTGGCAGTCAGTGGTCAAGATACCATGCTTCCCCTGCAGTGGGCACGGGTTCAATCCCTAGTTGGGGAACTAAGATCCTGCATGCTGCACAGGGTGGCCAGAAAAAAAAAAAAAAAAAAAAAAAAAAAAAGACATGAGATGGCTCTGTCATTCAGAGGACTTTCTGAATCCCAGCGGCAAGGTTTCTGCTCCAGGTACCCCAACCTGCTTTACCAGGTTGCCTGTGGTCTGCCCACTTACCATGGTTACTTTTAATCCTCTCTGCATTCCTCCCTGACAGCAGGAAACACAGCTGGGCAGTCTACAACGCTCTGTTCTCCGATCACTGTCGTTTGGTTCCAAAGCAGCGCCCACGCCCCCTGTGTGATTTTGATGTTGTTCACTCGCTATGTCCGACTCTTTGTGACCCCTTGGGCTGTAGCCCACCAGGCTTCTCTGTCCATGGGATTTCCCAGGCAAGAATACTGGGGTGAGCTGTCATCTCCTTCTCCAGGGGATCTTCCCAGCCCAGGGATGGAACCTGCGTCTCCTCTATCTCCTGCATTGCAGGCAGATTCCCTTGCCAGATTCCGCTAAGCCAGCGGGGAAGACCCTGTATGCGTTTACTTGTGGCTAAGGCACTGGAGTCACTGCCTTGCTGGTTGCTTATGAGAGGTCACTTTCTAAGCAGAAGCCAAGAGCTGTATTACATGTAGACTGTTTTAAACAAACTGTGGCTGTAGGCCAACTTTCTCCTCCTGTTTATGACTTGGCTTCCCCTCTCACTGATCATGGGAGAAAATGACAGGACAAGACCACAGATAGCAAGAACGACAACTGCAGAATTTGATGGGAAAAGTAGGAATGGGGAGCAAAATGAAAAAAGAAACAACAAAATCACCACCACCACCACCAGCTTCACTCAAGTAAGCTTTGCTGTAAATGACCAGTTTTCAAAAAACTTCCAGAAAACATTAAAAAAAAATAATTTCTAAGAATTTCCACAATGAAATATTCAGAGCACCCTTTTCGGGTTGCTTAAAGCTTAATTAAAAAAAAAAAAAGCACAGGACAATTTCTATTTTGAGTTAAGCCCTTCTCTCTGTATAGCTTCAGCTTGCTGAGCCTTTCATGTGGATGGCCCCTTTTGATCTAAGTGAGATTGCAAATATGTTAGCCAACCAAACAGTAAACTGGGGTTAGTCTTATGCTGAGTGGCAGAAAGGAAATGGAAATTTTTTTTAGAAAACAAAACACTAAGCCAAATATAGCAAAGATTAAGATCCATAGAAACGTTGTTCTGAATATTGATGGGTAATCCATGAAAAATCCTCAGAAATAGATATCGCTGATGCAAATCAGATGAAAAAAATCGGGGTGGAATTTTTCCAGCACATATGATGATAAAGAAAAATAAAATACAGCGTTACTGTTACCAGGGCCGTGGAGGCCTAATTTTAAAGACTGAGAGGAAGCTCAGTCCCATTGGCTAGAAAAGTGAGTGTGGATTTTATGTTGTTTAAGCCTTTTGTTCCTTCTCAGTAAATATTGACAAGAGACAGGTCCTGTATAGATTTAAATTTAAGACCTTTCCTGCTCCTTCCCAGTGTTTTTTTTTTTTTTTTTAACTCTGCTTCTGTGGTCACGGAATGTAAATATTCTCTTAACTTCTCTCTCTTGTTGTATTAAAATCACCAACCAAGGGCCTGGGATTTAAGCAGGATTCTTTCTTCTCAAGGCTGCTTTCAAACTCTAGTCTGGCATCAGATTTCGTTTCAGTCAAGACAAAAATTAAATGCTTTTTATGTTTAAATTTTTTCATTTCCTCACCAGGAAGAAACATTAATCACTAATACCTGCAAACACAGTCATGGCTGGTGACTAAGTTTCTAGAAAAAGTACTTTTTAGTTTTGTTTGCTCACACAGAAGTCACGCACACATTCAGCTTGTGTTCATGCCATAGTTAATCAGCCCACTCGCATGTCAGTGGTTGGAAAGTGTTTCTCCAGGTTAGAAAAGGAAAATAAGATCCTGGCTTTTAGCCTTGAGACTGTGGATTCCTCTAAAAACTTTTAGACAAAGTACCATGTTCAAGATCTCAGGTGCATTTGTTGTGAAGGGAGATTCATAGTTTCCTGCAGTCCAAGATCCCATGAAGACAAGTAATCACTGCCTTATAACAATTACTAAAAACCAAAAGACTTTTCTGTTGCATTCCATGTGCTTTCTTACTTGGCTCCCTCAGTGCTTACCAAATTTTAATTCACAAATCATGTGGGGATCCTGTTTAAAATGCAGGTTATAATTCAGAAGGTCTAGGTCGACTCTGAGAGTCTGCATTCTTAACAAAATTTAAGGTGATGGTGTTACTGCTGTCCCATGGACCACACTTAAAGTAATAGCAAAAAATATGTCCAAAGAGGATCCTATGCAGAGCTTGGAAAATTTCACACATTAAGATGATTCTAATACTATGTTTGTCAATATATCCTGTTGTCTGATGAAGACAGGAAAGTAGACACTCACAGCGTTGACTTTCGCCACACTCAAGAATAAAGAATATATTCATGAGGTGAAAAGAAACACTCTCCCCCACCGTTGGGAGGTCTGAAGTTGATTTTATAAATACCATACATCATGGGAACTCTCTGATTGAATTCCTTATTTTTCTATTTCTTCCATCCCCTGCCCCAGTCCATAGAATTGTTCACAGAGTTTCACAAGATGCTGTCTATTCCCCAAGTGCAGAATAGATATAAATTAATGATGCTCCTTTAAAAAAAAAAAAAGTCATTGTTTCATTATCTTCAAGAATGAAATATTACCCTCTTTGTTCATCCTCAGGCATATAGAGCCTTGTTACAAACAAGTTTAGAAATAAGCAAAGCAAATTTATTTTATTATTCCAGTGGGGTAATATCATTGCTTTTTCATACATTCACCTTACTTTTCTTCTCCTCTGCTTTCTTTTTTTAATGCATTTTTAAAATTAAAGTATGGTCAAATATTCACAATATCTTCTGCTTCTTATGATTGACTCACTCATGACGATCAATATCTATCTGGAAGTTTTTTATTTTTTATTGAAGGATAATTGCTTTACAAAATTTGCTGTTTTCTGTCAAACCTCAACATGAATAAACCATAGGCATACATATATCCCCTCCCTTTTGAACCTCCCTCCCATCTCCCTTCCCATCTCACCCCTCTAGGTTGGTACAGAGCCCCTGTTTGAGTTTCCTGAGCCACACAGCAAATTCCCATTGGCTGTCTATTTTACATATGATAATGTAAGTTTCCGTGTTACTCTTTCCATACATCTCACCCTCTCCTCCCTTCTCCCCATGTCCATAAGTCTTATCTGGAAGTTTTGCCAACATCTGAAACTTAACACAAGAAATTTAGCAATTCCCCTTTCTCATTTATATGTATCTTCTATGACCCAAACACCTTGTGATCAAAACCTTAAGATTTTGTTGGACTCTGTGTCAAGCTTCACACTTAATCATTTACCAGATTCATCAAATCATCCTCTTGTTTTCAAAAATAATATTGAGGATTTCAAGTGGGAAAGAAGATGATGAACTACACTGGGTTTCCTCCCTCCAGCCCTAACTAAAAACTGTAGCCTCCTCTCTGAGATCTGAGGGGGAAAGACAACAGCAAAGAGAAAGAGAAGGTGCCAAAGAAGGAAAAGGTAGCACAAAGTGTGTTCCAATCATTTGCACCCCATCTTAACTGAGAGCAGGACCAAAGCCATTAAATAATAGTGCCATGTAATGTACATAACTTGGGCTCTACCGACAGACCTACTTCCAACAGTATTTCTAAGCATTCTTATGCCTCATCTGTCTCAACTGTAAAATGAGGATGATATTTTGGGTTGTCTTCCAAAATATTCATTCTTTCCTCTTTATTAACACATTTTTATTTAGTGATCTCATAGCCTCCTTTGCAACTAGAGGGGACCATGAGACATAGTTCTGACCAAAAAGATGCTGATGGAGGTTTTGAAAAGAGATATTCATGTCCTTTCTTTCCAGGAGGCAGATGCAATGTCTGGAGACGTATCAGTGCTATTATGACTGGGAAAATGAAAGACATATGCTGAGAAGAGTGAAGAAAGAAGATAGGATTCTTGGTGATGTCATTGAGTCATACAAAAACTGGACTGGAGGAGTCCTTATTAAATGAAAGAAGAGAGAAAAAAAAAATACTGGACTTCTTTAAACTCTTGTAGGGTTCTCTATTACATGGAACACAAACCTGATAGAATATTTCACTGTCTTTGAGAGTATTATTGTGTGATGTTTTTCAGTCATTCATTCATGTCCGATTCTTTGTGACCCCGTAGTCTGCAGCACATCAGGCTTCCGTGTCCTTCATTATCTCCCGAAGTTTGCTCAAACTCATGTCCATTGAGTCAACGATGCCCTCCAACCATCTCATCCTCTGTCATCCCCTTCTCCTCCTGCCCTCGGTCTTTCCCAGCATCAGGGTTTTTTCCAATGAGTTGGAATTAGTATGACAGCAAATATAAAAATGGTTAACACAGGGCATAGCACATAGTAAGCATGCAATAAATGTTAGTAGTTATCATTGCCGTTATATTATTATTATTATTCCCTATGGCTTCATCATTCTTCCCACCTCTAACCCTGTAACACAAGTTATTTTGCGTTCTACTTTATTTCCACATCCATCAAGCAAGTCAAGCCACTCACTATGTTGCATATGGACAGTAACCAACTCACCAAGTGTTTTAGTTGTGGCTTGAAAGATGAATTGTCTTAAGTAGGCAGAGAAAAGGACCGGGGCCTTATTGATGAGGGAAACAGAGGTGTCAACACAGGGAGGGAGGTTGGAAAGCAGAGTGTAGCAGAAAATGTGTGGACATTTCTGGAGGATTCGTGTGGGATAAGTTAGAGAATTTGGAGCCAGATTGTCAAAGATTTTCTATGACTAGCAGAAAGCAGGTCAAGGAATTTTTAGTCTATTTTCCTGTGAAAATTTTAGGACACTGTTTGGTTTGGGTTTGACACAGGAACTAATACAATTAAGGAAGTGGAAATACTTGATTCTTTTGCTTACTTGGCTGGCATTTCATTTGCTCAGTTATCACATGAGGAAGTTAAAGCAGATGCTCTCAAAGATCTGGACCATTCTAGAAGTCTAAGAGTCACTGGGAATTATGAAAATATTTTAATATCTAAACTTGAGTTCAGAGCCTCAATTTCAATACTAGCCTTGACTTTTTCACATTTCACATTTTGGGTCTAAGGGAATTTGCTGCTCCCTCAAGTCTCACTGGAAGCAAACTTAAATCATCTTATAAACTTCAAGAATCTGTAGCAGCAACCCTTGTTCACCCAACTTTCACACTCCTCTGTCAACCAGCTTGGGTACCAGTGAAATCCATCTTTGTCCTCCCCATTCTCCTACAGCTCACTCAGGATGCTGAATTCCAAGGTAAGCAGAGCATTAACTTACAAATCAAATGTGATGGGACTTGCCTAGTGGTCCGGTAGTTAGTACTTCACCTTCCAAAGCAGGAGGTTCCAGTTTTGTGGTCAGGGAGCTGAGATCCCGCATACATTATGGCTAAAAAACCAAAACATAAAACAGAAATTCAGTTCAGTTCAGGTGTTCAGTCATGTCCAACTCTCTGCAACCCCATGGACACAGCACACCAGGCTTCCCTGTCTATCACCAACTCCCAGAGTTTGCTCAAACTCATGTTCATTGAGTCGATGATGCCATCCAACCATCTCAACCTCTGTCGTCCCCTTCTCCTCCTGCCTTCAATCTTTCCCAGCATCAGGGTCTCTTCCAGTGAGTCAGTTCTTCGCATCAGGTGGCCAAAGTATTGGAACTTCAGCTTCAGCATCAGTCCTTTCAATGAACATTCAGGACTGATTTCCTTTAGGATTGACTGGTTTGATCTTGCAGAAAACATATATTGTGCTTGTTTTTAAAAATAGGTTTACTATTTTTAAGTTCTAGTATATTGCCAATCATAAAGGAAAGCAAATGAAATACTTTTTAAAAATAAGGAATAATAATACCGCCATTCAAAGGGAAATGTGTTAATTTGGAGAGGTCTTCCTCTGTCAGTCTTTTTGGTGCCTTTTACATAGTTGTAATCATTCTGAATTTTAGTTTAATGTTATAGCACAAATGTTTTCCATGTTATCATATTTGCTTTATATGTAACTTTTTGATAGTTACATAACATTTTAAATTTATCATGAAATAGTTCATACAAAAAGACATAAGGAATAAATAGAATGAAATGCATGTATCCTCACAGAGCTTAAGAAATAAACCATAGAACGACAATACAATATCTGATGGCCTGTTATTGCGAGGAAAGGACAACATAAAGCAGTGGACTATTACCATTGAAATGCTGAAACAAAACAAGTAGGGGCAGTCATTTAAAAATACGTCTGTGTAAGGGATATATATATATGTATGGCTGATTCATTTTGATGTACAGTAGAAATTAACCACATTGTAATTGTAAAGCAATAATAGTTCAATTAAAATTGGTGAAAAAAAAATCACAGGACCTAATATGTCATCATTGCCTAATAGATATTTGTAAATGAAAAAAATAAGTCTATGCAAATCAACTATACATCAATAAAAAATAAATAAAGTAGTCTAAGAAGCTGAAAAGAACAAGGTGCTTTTATGAAGATAAAACCCCTCCCACAGCACAGTAATAACATGGTTACTGCCCTTCTGACAAGGGCAGAATAAAAAAGCAAGGGGACTCATTTTTCACTGAATGCCCTTCTGCGTCTTTCATACTGACTTCTGAATACCATTTAGCTGTTCAAAAACACTAAGTACTTTTAAAGCCTAAATAATAAAAAAAAGTATATCTTCCTGTTATAAACCCTATGTTTCTTTTAATTTGCTATTTCATGCCTAACAATATGGTCAAGAGTTATTCAAATATACATTCATAAATCTAGAAGTGAAAATGAACAGCGAAGTCATTTCTCTCTTCTTCTAGAGAAAAAACAAGGCTGAGCTTCGAAGCAGGGAAGTGCTTGCATCTGTTATATAAAAACTGTTCCTTATGAAATTGCTTTTTCATTCTAATGAAACGGCCCCAGATTGAAACATACTTCCTTCCCCCAAACAATGGCAGTCTTTCATAGTGCAAGTTGCTCTTTGGAACCCTATGGAATACCCCATGGAATTCTTTAGGCCAGAATACTGGAGGTGATATTCTCCAGGTCCCTTCTCCAGAGGGTCTTCCCAACCCAGGGATTGAACCCAAGTCTCCCGCATTGCAGGCAGATTCTTTACAAGCTTAGCCACCAGGGAAGCCCTTATTAGATCTAGAAGTAATGAAAAGAAGCACAACACAGATAAGCTTAATCAGCAAAACGGGGGGTGGGGGGCGGGGGTGATTGTAAAATATAAGTAAAAACCAGGTTAAGCTTCAAAATAGTGAAGAGTGGTCTGGAATTTGAAAGCTCAATCTGCATTTAATTTTCACACTAACTTCCATGTACAGGGTGTATAACTGACTCAGAAAAAAATGTAATTTCATATTTTAAAGCCACAGTTTAATTCCCTGTACTACTTTAGGGAAAAGCAGCTTAGCGTAATGGTTGAAAGCACAATTTTGAGCTGGCCTAAATCACTTCCAATCCTAGTTCTGTCACTTATTAGCTATACAGATTTGGACCAATTGCCTTAATTTCCTCATCCAGAAAATGGGAATAATAATGGTACCTGTCTGATGTGGTTCTTGTAAAAAATCAAATGAGGTGGCACAGTACTAAACTGCTTAGGACAGTAAATAAATACATGTTGCTAAGTTGCTCAGTCGTGTCTGACTCTTTGTGACCCCATGGACTCTAGACTGCCAGGTTTCTCTGTCCATGCGATTTTTCAGGCAAGAATACTAGAGTGGTTGCCATTTCCTTCTCCAGGGGATCTTCCCAATCCAGGAGTCAAACCCAGGTCTCCTGCACTGCAGGCAGATTCTTTACCATCTGAGCCACCAGGTAATACGACACGCAATAAGCAGTCAGTAAATGCTTATATGTGTTTACAAATGTTGCATAGCATTTAATTAAGTATTAACCATGTTAATATAACCTTTATTGCTTAAAAACTAATTTGTCTCTGTGTAAAATATCTTCACTGCTTTTTATGATTCATCTGTACTTGATTAAACTTGATAAGTGTAAGCTATTGGAATAATGTACAAAAGTATTTTATTTTTAGAATGGCTTCTATCTGCAGCCCTGGAAAAAGGAAGCTCCCTTGCCACACAGTGCCATATATACACTCCCCGGGATTTTTGTCAAAGGTAAATATACACAAAGTGTTTAAAAAAAGGAAAATTAAAAGTGGAGGGACTTCCCTGGCGGTACAGTGGTTAGGACTCTGGCCTTCCATTGGGGGGGCCACTGGTGCAATCCCTGGTCAGGGAACTAAGATACTGCAAGGCTTACGTTGCGGCCATAAGTAAATAAATAAAATAAACATAAAAAGTTGAATTCTATGATATATAAATTATATTCCAATAAAGCTATTTAAAAGATAAAAAATAAAATAAATAAATCTTTACAATACAATTCATACCTCTGTGTAATCATTCTCTCTGTAGCATAACTACTTTCTTAAACTCTGTGACTATTCAGTTCTTACAGTTCTCTATACTTTTACCACATACATATGTATCCCCAAGTAATATGTAGTAACATTTGCATGTTTCAGACTCTACATAATTAATATCATACAGTTTGTATTATACAACATGCTTATATTTTTTCCTCCATGCTGTGTTTATGGGAGTCATCAAGTCATATTTGTTATATCATATTACATCAGATAAATATACTATAATTTCTCTTGTGTTGAATATTTAGGTGGTTTGAAACCATACAGACAATATTTTGACAAATGTCATTTAGCATATTGTATTTTTCTTCATGTAGGATTATTCTCTAAGTGTAGATCCTCAAAGTGAAATTATCAAAAAGCATGAAGATTTTTTATATCCTTGACACATATTGTCAAAATGCTTTCCAAAAGGATTATACCAACTTTATATTCTCACCAGAAATATAGTACCTTGTTTTATCACATACTTCTTAGCCATGGATATTGCAAATTTTTTCTTTAATTTCAACCAGTTTTCTCAGCAAAAGATTTCTGGAGAAGTTGGAATTTTTCTGTTATCATATCACATCCTCTGTGATATGTCTTTCATGGCTTTTGCCCATCAAAGCTGTTGGA